CCAGAACCGTGACTTCAGGGGGACACAGGACGGGGGGCACAGAATTAGGTCACTGGTACCAGATTAGCTGCTATCCAGCTCGATTCCCCTCTTCTTCAGTTTCTCATCTGGACCTCAACTCCAGAAGAGTCTAAAGACCCACTCCACTTGGAGTGGGGGGAGCATGGAGGAGGGCGGGGTAGGCTAGCCATCTCCCACAACCCAGGTGACCAAGATCCAGCCTCCAGCCTCCCTCCTTCCCAATCCCGGGAGTCAGAGACACTACACCCTCTGCTCTGTCTGGGCTTTAAACCTCCAACCTCAGACTCAGAAATCCCAGCCTTCAGACCCCTGCTCCCCCAGAACCCGACAGGCCAGGCCCCCAGGACCCAGGAGCTGGGGCGCACAAGCTGTGGGCGGAGATGAATGGAGTTCCCCGGAGCCACTCCCTCGCACACATCAGGTCCGACAGGTCCAGCTGGCCCAGCCGAAAGCAGGAGGGACTTTCATTCGCTTCCCCCCTTTCCCTCTCTCCCATCTGGCAGTGGCATAACCGGTTCTAAGAGGAGATAATTCCCAGCGCCACCCCGTTTTCGGACTGTGTCTAAAGCCTGGGACTGGGGCCTTGGACTTCTGTGAGGGGGGGGGGGGTGGCTGGGAGAGCAGGCAGCTGGGTCCCTTGGATCTTTGAACAGGTACATCGGGGAATCTAGATACCTGAATCCCAGCACTCACAGGCCAGATTCCGGAATATGTTCATCAGAAGGCAGGCCAGCCTTAGGCCCCAAACCAACATGGTATCTAAAACCCAGAGCCTGGTCAGGGGATGCAACACAAGATGCTTTAAGGAAGCTGTTCTAGAACTTCAAATTCACTGAGAAGGAAACAAGACAGCAAGGCTGGGCACGGATCTAGAAAGCCACCGGCATGTAGATACAGCACAGAGCGCAGAAAGAACATATCCTCCCATGTGTATAATGTGAGTTGGGTGAGAGCTGCACTTCGGGCATATTCTAGAAGCCTGTTCTGAAACGTTGAACCAGCCAAGAGCAATCAACAACTTAAAAAGCACCTGGGTGACCTCAGAATGATATCTAAGGATATACCTAATGCCATGCACAACAAACCTCGTCAGGAGACATATTCTAGAACGCAAAATCTACCAGAGATGAGGGTATAACACGGTTTGCCATCTTGGTTTTATCATGTGTCAAGATAATGCTAGAACTCGGAATGAAAAAGAGATGCTCTAGAATTCAGGACATGCCCTGGAGGGGAAGAAAAACCTAGAAAGTAGCAAGGAGTTTGTCTGGAACTTAGTCGTGCCTGGGGGAAGATGTAGAAGGATGCATGCTTGGAATTGAGAATTTACTGGCATGGGGCCTGAGCTGGCAAAGGAGAGATAGGGTGCTCTGGAAATGAGGGCATTTCTAAGCTGAAGACTCCAGAAGAGGGGAGAGCCTAGAGCATGATTAGAACGCTGATGTGGCCGGAAGAGGAGGAAGCCCACGATCCACCAGGGGACAAGTTCTGAGCCAACATCACACGAAGGAAAAGGTGGGCGGAGAAGGTGGGGATGGAATGGTTGGGCCTAGAACCTAGAACCTGGGGAGGAAGATCTAAGGTAGAACGCTTCCATGGGAGTCTTCTAGATTGTAGACTGTAGAACTGGCTGGAACCCGAAGCAGAAAATACCTTCTAGAGTTGGTGGCACAATTCAAAGACTAGAGCACATCATCGGAAGACCCACATTCTAGAACTTAGAATGTCCCTGGGAAGAGCATGGAATGTAGAACAATGTCCAAGGACATGGCTGGAACCTAGAACACACCTAAGATGAAATTTTAGCAGAGAACAAACAAGGCCTGGGTCCTGTCCCGAGAGACAGTGGGGTCAGAATGTGGCCTACGGGGGGTTCTTTAGATATTCGAATCCATCTGGGAAAAGACAGGCCTAGAATTTAGCATCAAGCCTAGAACTGAGAACACGCCTTGGGCGAAGATGGAACAGAGACGTTGGCTGGGAATGTTCCAGGATCTAGAAAGAATCTAGAACATGGGGTGCTGCAAGGGCAATGTTTAACCGGAAATGTGGAAGACAGTGAGTAGGTTCTAGATCATCTAAGGAGCCGAGGCCACAGAACACATTTGGAGGAAGGCATGTATGTTTGGCTCATAGAGAGTGTATTCAGAGAATGGGCCGTCACCATATGGGCCGCAGAAGGCAATGGGGTGCCAGAAATATCTCAAGAAGCTGGGTCTCAGGGGAGAGAATAGAGTCCCCGGGCAGCCCAGCAACTGACATGAAACAGGGATGAGGCAGGAGTTTGCCAAGGCCGCTGGGGGGTGTCATGTTTATAGGGGGATGGTGAGACTAGGGGGACCTGGGTCCCTAAGAGTAAGAGATGAGGAGCTAGAAACCTGGGCAGGAGGAGAGCAGATTCGGGGACCTGGACTCCTGAATCCTTGTGGAGGTAAAAGACAGGGGGGCTAGGGGGGGAGGGCTGAGGCAGATGGCCTCAGTATAGGCTGATGACCAACACAGAAGCTAGGATCTGAACGCCTGGGTCCCTGAGGGGGTGCAGGGCTGGGGACAAGGCGTCTAGTCTCCAGGGGCGGAGGTAGGGGGTGGGGAGGCAGATGCCAAAATATGGCATTAACAATTGCATTCTGAGTCCCTGGAAAGGAGGGAGTCATGGCGCCTGAATCCCTAAGGGGGCAGATGCTGGGGTTCGAGGAGGCTGGGTGTATTTGCCTGAGGAGCGCAGGGGCTGTGGAGCCGGGTGTCTAAAGGGACAAAGGCTGGGAACCCGGGCCCCCGGACGTCAATTACCCTAAGGTGGATGGATGGGGCAGGAACCTTCAGAAGCCTTGACTCCTAAGGAAGGTGCTGGGGTCCCCAGAAATCTAGGGTGCTGAGGGCCGGGCCGAGAGCCTGGCCAGCGGAACCCTGAGGCCGGGCGTCAGTCTGGGTCGGGGAGGGCCCCGGGTATC